GCAAGAAGAGCAGGAAGAAGAGTCGAGTCGAGTCGGAGAGCAATAAAATCAACAAACTCGGAGTAAAATGCCATTTATCAATGGCAAGAGGAATTCGGCGCGGAAAGCCAAAAACACAGTGTTGTTGTTGACCAGGCTCACAGCGAGGGGGAAGGGAAGTCAAGTGGGTAATGCGACAGAGAACAGCTGAACCAGAAGAGCTATGCGTGAGAGCAAAGCGAAATGCGGAAGAGTGAAAGAAATGGCCGATTTTCTAAGCAGGATAACTGGGTCTCTAGAGCGGTTATTTTAGTTCAAAATATAAACCTTAAATGCTTTTCAAAATAAATGTAATTCGAAAAATCCTCTGCATTCATAGGAATCTGTGTCAATGGAGCGCTTCTAGTGATAAAGAAATGTTCCAACCCCATAAAACATATAGTTCCACGTATGGTAGAGAGAGATGGCTGGCTATACGGTAGTTATGGCTGCCATCCCTTCAATGGACGTCTAGAAGGGTGACTTACTTAAATGCGAATGGATCATATTGAAGCGAATTTGATGTGTGATGGATTTTGTTGTGGAGTTGCAGAATCCAACATTCATGCTGACACATTCCTACACATGTCCTACAATACTTTGCCATTTAATAGGCGATTTTAAACCGAAGCACACCCCCGTACGCAATGGAAATATAAAAGAGATATCTGCATGAGGGCAGCGACATAAATAAATAAATTTCTTCTATGCCTATGTCTCTGTCTCCCTGTGTATACGGGTGTATGCCGTGCGAAACAAGGATAACATGACTGATTATGTAAGCAAAAGCGGCAAGGACTCGCTCACAACAAAAGCGTACAGGCAAGCACATTTGGGCTCTGGCATTTTCCGGGTCCCTTTTTTCGGCAGTTTGCCGCAGCAGGTTGATATCCGGGGCCAGGAAGAGCCATACACACCCACTTATTGTTGTTGTTGTGTGCGTGTTTTTGAGAAAGTGGCACAATTTTTATTTTACGAAGGCCTAATGTAATAAAGCCCGCCCCAAATCCAGAGCCAGAGCCAGAGGGCAGAGGCAGAGGCGGTGCGAGTAGGAGCGGGGAAATGGATTGCCTGCGTTTAGCATTCGGAGCGATAAAAGGACAAGCCAGCATCAGGAACGGCCTCCACCGCCACCCATCTAGAAGCCGTAACAAATCTGAGGTTGGCAGCGCGCGGGTGGCTCCGGCCATGTGTGCGCTTAAGGTGGCCCGGAGCGGGGTCAGCGGCCGTAAATCAAACCGAAAATTATACGCATTCATCTGCTGAGCTGGCAAAAGAAGAGGAAAAGTATCTGCCACATTGCTCTCGGCAATGGGGAGCTGGATGTGGGTGTCGGTCCCTTCCAACGGGGGAGTGGAACTCCCAGCCGCCCTGGCAAATGGCGGAAAATATGGGTAACTGTGCAAAATCTAATGGCCTACAAAAATCAATAAAGGAGAAGCATGTTCACCGTTCACCTGGCAGAGCGGAAGCAAGTGGCAGCGCAGTGGCAGTGGCAGGGCGAGTGTCTTAATTGCGTGCGAATGGAGTGGCTGAGCGGCAGCATTGGCAGCGGCACATTAATTTCTGTGTTCACATTTCGGTAAATGCCAACTTGTTTACTTATTAAAATTGTAACTCGAATTCGTTCGCCATTAATCAAGCTCGGAAGTTGAGCGACATTGAATGAATAAATAATAAGTATTAAATATTAAATAATCTATATTTATGGTCAATGACGAATCCTGAATGCTCTACCGAGCTGATAAGATGAGACGCGGTCTGGGAGTGGGTAATATCTTTGTGTCTCAGAGATACGGGGAGAGCAAGTTGCCGCCAGTTCAAAGTCAACTGTCCGCCAATTAACTAATTTGCCGAGTCCCTCTCGGAGGGGCAATTAAACGGACACGGACAACGACCAGATAGGAAAGTGAATACTGGCAGATACACATGTGAATGCAAGGGGGGGGATGAGTGCGGACTTGCGGATAGTTCAACTTGTTGCAGTTGAAATTTGTTCTCGGGTCTGCCTGCTATTGGCCCTGGGTCACCTGCTCAAGTCGAAAGTCAAGATACTGATAATTTCAATCGAGCAAAGTTGGAGCTGAGAGTGTGGAGGAGAAATACCGGAAATGGTCGGCCGAGTGCAGGTAGGGAAAAGTTCCCGATTGTCAGGTAGGAGTAGAGCCATTTCACAATCATTCCGGATGCCGGATCTATCGAAAATGTGGGCCACTGCCCCACAATTCACAATTACAATTCGAACAAATGGAACGGCTCTCCAATTGCTTTGTTTCATGTTTATCTGCAAAGTGGCGCCAAAGTTTATCAACAATTCAACAAATTAAGATACTTTATTGCACATTATTATGTTATTACGAGTATTGTGAATAGCGTGCCATTCGCTATCTGTCTGTGTGGGTGAGTGTGGCTGATGGGCAGAGGGGAAAGCAGGGACGGGGGCGCCGTCGCGCCGATCTCGTCGAGACATTCGCTCCATTCAAGTTCTTCCACTTATAAATAGACCCAATCCGCATGATAATGAAGAGAACTCCACCAAAGAGTGTGCAAACATCTGGCAGACAGAGCGATCAAAGTGCCAGCCAAAGGGGAGAATTTACATACATTCATGCATACAGATGTACATAAATGTATGTAAATACATAAATGCATACATATTCCATGTGAGTATCTTATGAATAATTCGGTAGGTAGAGTGGATAACTGTGTTTCGGCAGATAACTCTTAATTATATAACTCCATTATATAAATATATGTATGCTAATTATTCAGTTTACAAATAATAAATACAACTACGAGTGTATAATCATTTCAACAAACATCTATAATCAAATACATCAACGTCTAAGAATGTTAACAAAAATATGACTGGAATAAGTACATTTCGCATTATAAACAATTAGAAGCCACTCAGTAGCGAAATATTTCCACTTATTTCTTGTGACATTTGAAAAACATCCATGTGCCCCATCTCAGGCAACATCTGCGACCAACTAATGGATTATCCTTACGGGCCCACCAACAACAGCAGCAACAACTACCAAAACGCCTCCCACGAACGAAACATTACAGACAAAGAAACATTATTATAATCAATGGGATTATTTCATTCTATTAGCGTCGGCATTATATACATTTGCCCCTCAAAAAAACAGCCACACATTTTGTGTACATGACAAAAAATGAGCCAAGGGGGGGATGGGAAACAGAGATTGGGCAGAGAGTGGCAACCGCAGTCTTAGCAATACATTTCTCTCCATTGACTTTATTAATTTTCTAATGGATTTTACGTTTTCTGCAGTTGAAGATTTCCACATTTCAGATAAATATTTATGCGTACAGCGCCGTCAGGGGTAGGGGAGGATACGGATACGGATACGGAATAATGCCTTGGAGCTGACTTTGTTGCTGCCTCGATGACTGTCACTGTCGGCGACAGGACCTTTTAGTTCCTGGCCCAGTCCCTGTTCCTTTTTTATAGACACACACACACAAACACAAGAATTGATTACGATTGGCAAATGGCATTCGGTGGAAGGAAGTTTTGTTTATGTTTGTGATGGTAATTTATACGATTGTATAAATTGCCAATAAACATATAGGAAACTGCAGAGGTTGCATATAAGTATGTATGTACATCTGTATGTACATTTGTCTGTACGCATGGGTCTTTGGGTATCTGGCACTCCCGGCTGTGGAGTGTTTGGTTAACATAACTAAAAACAGGAATTAACAACAATTCAAGTGCCTAAGCGGGCATGGCAAACTAAAGTAAATTAAATGTGTGTTTAATTGGTCGTGTGTGGGGAGGCACAACTGTACTGCCGCAGTGCCATATGGACGGACGACGGACGACGGACGACGGACTGGCGTGCCCCGGGGCGATTCCTGTCAAGTGCAACATGCTGAAAAATTGCTAACAAAATGATACGCTTTGTAAAATTCGCAGGCGGGCATCACCAATTTTCTCGCTGATTTTCTTTGCGTGCCAAGTGATACTTTTCCGGGGCTTTTTCTCCGCGTTGGGTGGTGCGGTGGGTGGCTGTCTCGCTTTTTAATTGTGCCCCGAAGAAAGCCTTTCACTGGATTCGTGTGTGTTTTTCTGTCCCTGTACAGTGTGTGTGTGTGTGGCATTACATGTGTGTTTGCTCCGAGTTGACAAACTGAATAATTGGCAATTATTTTGGGCAAATTTTACGAGCTGATAATTTCACATATTACGAGTACGAGCAAGTACGAGTATATGTATATGTATGTACAGGAATGCTTTAATTTATTTGGCCAGAGCCTTGGCAGGGACTATTGGGGGAGGGGCATGCACATGCTGAACGCTCACAGAAACATAGATATTTTGTATGTATGTACATTCAGTAGGTTCTAAGAGTATATTGGGAGGTATTTACGAGTATGAAGAGTATTTATGCACACAACAGAAACTTACAAAGATTTATTTGAATTTGAATTGGCTTTACCTCTCGAACTCTTGCAGGGGCGGAGGCGCTTCCTTGACTGACACAAAACGAAGACAAATGATGATCATGATGATGATGGTGATGATGATGTGGCAACATCAACAGCAGCAACAACAACCAAACTCAAAAATCAACACAAAATTCAAAGAAGCTCGCTTCGATTTAATTTCAAATCGATTGGATTGTTGGTTGGTTTGTTGGTTGTTTGGTAGGTTGATTGGTTGGATGGTTGGTAGGTTGGAGAGTGGGACAGATTGGAGCAGAGGAAGGGGTAGAGTTTCGTGTGTTGCTGGTGTGGTGTAGATCTCAGAAAGATGGCTGGGTTGGGGATTTGGCATTCTCAAAATCAAAAGAGACTTTTCATAAATCATAAATGGCTTTGCAACGCAAAAGAAATGTGGAACGAAAAATCGCAACATACAAAAATTATATTCTCACAAAAATTGAAAATAAATCATAGGTGAAACTATAAGCTAAGGATACACAAAATAGAACAAAACTTCGACTTACCTAGCCAGTCTGGTAGAAGAGAGCCCGCAAGAGATTCTGAGTATCTCTTACCTGGAAAGCAGAAGGAGAAATATTGTGTTTAATCGGGAGTTTGGTGATTGGGAAAATGCCTCAAGTGTTAGTACAAATTCAGTTGCGTCTAATCAAATAACTAATAAAAAATAGCAGTTAAAAAATAATAAATCAAAAATATCTTAAATTAATAATAATAAGATAAGAGCAAATGAAGTGTTGTCAATTATGTTAGTGGCACAAAAATAAAATTAAAAATATTTTTTAAATAAAAAAATTTAAAAATTCGCAAAAAATTTGATGGAGTAGGATCAAAAATTTGAAGTAAAAATTCGTTGAAAGCAAGCGGAAACTGCACAAATAAATACAAATCCAGGCGGTAAAAATGTTAAAGAAATTTAAGTGTATGTGCATGGTGTATTTGTGTCTGAAAACTTCCACTTTTTGTTTAAAAATGAAGAAATTAAAATGTTTGCGAAAGCGGGTAGCCGCGGGCGAGGCTGCTCTGCCGTTTTTCTCTTTGAGGAACTATGCTCGTAAAAGCCACATGACTCGCCTCAAAGTGAGTTTACTTTTTCATAAATTTGCACAATTTGAGGCTGTGTTCTGGGTCTTCCTTTATATGCATGTAAATAACCCCAGGTAAATCATAATTCTAAGCTCAGCACCGGAATGCCGCTCCCGCCGGTACCGCCTTCGCTCTAATGCTAATCTAATAACTTTAGCAGTCTCCCGAATTTATTTGGCTCAACAGCAGCGCACAAAATTATGCACGGAGAGCACGCCCTGGACAAGTACAGTACCCTTATCCTGCTCCCAGTCCTGGTCCACGTCTCGGTCCCAAGGAGCTGCCTGAGCAAGACGTTGAAGCGCGTCAGGTGTGCGCATTAAAAAAGAGATCCCTCCCTCTGCTTACTCCTATTCCCATTCCTCCCTATTCCTCTGGTGGCACGGCAATCTAGTAAATTCCGTACAAAGTTTTAAATAATCGAAAACGACACGACGCACTTGGCGAGAAAGTTGAAACATGTAAAATTTGCATAAATAACAACTAAATGCAACTTGACGCTCGGCAAAATGTTGCCAAATGATGAATTGAGCGAAGAGGATGAAGATATACTTTGTTGAATATTCGTTGTGGGAAGAGCAATCTGACATCAGCTCGATGCTGGATAAAACAATTTGAAGACATCTGATGTGGATATGATTTGATGCTTTATTATTTGCATAACAGGAACAGGATTGAAGCTAATCAATTTATAATTTGTCATTCAGCCATGTCAAAACAGTTCGTAATTGGTTTTTGATTTATTTAAATATTTTTTAAATATCTTCCATGCTTTTAGTTCTGATTTCTGATTTTGATTTTGCTTGAATGCCCTGCCCTCGTCAGGGTCCCCAGTTGGCAATCGGCGTCAAAAATGGGCGGAGCGCTCGCTGGATCTGGCTCTGTCGCAAGGCCATGAACATCGGTGGGGTAGATACATGGATACATGCATACATATGCATGTGTATATGTGAAGCTGGGGAGGGAATACTTTTTTGCTGGTGTCTGCTGCGCTTTTGTATGCAAATAAATCAGTGGCGCCGCATCATATGTCGTGTTTGAGAGGGGCTGGGCGGGGCGGGGGTGGCGGTGCCTGCTGCAGTGCGCAAAAACATTTCTCACACTACTCGTATTTGTCATGCTCATAGATACTTTTATTTTTAAATAAATTGCAAACTCTTTTGCGACTGTCGCCTGGCTCTCCACCCCATCCCCATCCCCATCACCAACCCCATCCCCCCTCGTGCCATCCTAGAACAATATTTTATAATGAAAATCCTCTGTCCGTGGCCGTGCCTGTGCCTGCATCTGTGTGAGTAAGCGGAATGCAGTGGAAATGCAGCAACAGAATTTTCGCATTTGACTCAATTTATCGCACAACAGTTCGGGATTTTCGAATTGGTATAAATGCGCACCAATGAAAGCGGCAGACAATAAATAAATAAAATTAATGGCCGTTGGTGTTGTCTAATTTTTTGCTGCTACAACTACTTCCGCGCCCTCAGCAACTGCCACATGCCACCCCAGGCACAGAGTTGGACTTGCCGAATTGACGGTTAATAAAATTAGCCAAATTTACGTCTCTTTACCCATTTGGCCATTAACAATGAACAAAAACAACCCAAACCCTTGGTCCAACTCTAATTCGGATCCCAGATCCAATCCCATCTAGAACCCTTTCCCCTGCCCAGCAGTGGCATCCCAAGCCCAATCTGTTACTCGCTGTGCTGCCAAGCGTGAGAGAGTAAAGTCCCTTGCCTGGATTTATTATTTTTACAAGATAAATGCAACATTTTACATTGGAATTTACGGGCGTGTGGCGCAAAAAAACCCAGCAAAAACAACACCCAAGCCAAGGCCAGAAACAAACAATGACAAAGTCAAAAGTCGGGACACAGTGGGCCCGATTTGCAAAGCTTCTGGCAGATATGTAGTGGCACAGTGGGTGAATGTTAATTTCCATGGTCCACTTATGTTCTCCATGGGTTAATTATAATTCCCTTATTTTAACGCCGCGCTCCTAAATTATTTGAATTTTTGTGCATTTTCCATCCACTGTGCATTGCGGAACAGCAATGGCCAGCGGCCTTTTGGCCATTTTCGATAAAACACATTTAAACAAATGAAAATCCTTTAAACGAGGATAACACACTGAGAGCACGTCCATGCTCGGCTTAACCCCATGACTCCGTCAGCCACCCCCAGAGCGAGTGCGGCCTCTGCCTCCCCCTGGACTCACTTGAGTGTGTAATTGTGTATTTATTTGCGTTATTTGACAAAATATCAACAAGCACAATCAATCCTCAGCAGTCAGTGGAGTCGCCATGCATGGAGTCCGACCTCCAACCCCCCCTGCCGACAGCCCCGGCCAAACCCAAGCTGAAATGCCAAATGCTGCCATATGTCTGCCCGGACAGGGATGCCGGCGGAGAAATCCATTTAAATTAAAGCTGAGTTGAGCTGCATTCGAAAACGCATAAATATGGGTGTCCATGTCCGTGTCTGTGTTAGTTTCACTCTGCGTGTGTGCGTGCCAGCCTGTGTGTGTTTGGGAGGCATTGAGAGAGTATCTGTGTGTGCGCGTTTGGAAACTTTCAATTTGAGCTGAATTCAAATTTAGTCCGGACCCGGCCCTGGCAATAAAATCTGCACAAAAAAATTCTGTGCTGTGCTCCTCTTTCGAGCTGCCGCTGCCTCTGAACTTTGGCTCAATTCTGGCAAAAATTTACAGACTGCAAGACTGTGGCGTGGCAGCAGAGGGGACAGGGCTGACTGGGTTAGGGTGGTGTTCAATTGTATCTTATGCAAATTTACGTAAATTAAACAAAATCTTTGGAAACAGAAAAATAAGTTTCGAATTTATATGCGAAACTTGTGTATCGAAGCTAAATTATTGGTCCAAGTTCAGACTTCTATTCAGAGCCAGTCCCAGGCCTAGGTCTCTTAGGTCCCTCCTCTCACTCTCTCTCTCTCTCTTGCCTAGCCATGGAGTAGTTGCTGAAATGCCTTACCCTTACGCTTGCACCCGACAACTTTGTACAAGAAGAGTAGAGTTCAGCAGTGTCTGCCACTGTGTGTGTGTGTGTGTGTGTGGCTCTGTGTGTGTACAATGCGACAAAGACTTATGGTTTCAGTGCCGGAATTAGAAGCTTTCCCTGCCTGCATTTCCACATTTCCACCGAACACTGCACTTGTTGTTGTTGCTGTTGGTGTTGCTGTCGGTGGAACATTTGTCGTCCTTGTTGCTGCTGCTGTTGCCCGTTGCAAAATATATTGCAAATAATTCTCAATATATCGTAAAATGTCTGCTGGCAGTACAGTAAATATGCAAAGCTCGTTTAGCGCAAACAGTCGAGAGGGTGGGCAACGGGGGTTAGGGTTAGGGCTGTGGCTGTTGCTGTTGCTGTTGCTGGGGCTGTGTGGAGAGTAGAAGGCGTGCCAGCGAATAGGGGCGAGTTTCGGTCACTGATTGAGGGCATTGGGCACTTTTAGTACGAGCACTAGCCCGATAATACTCAAAACTTTGCAATAGGAAAACATTGATCATGGCTTAGTAGATTAGGGAACAATTCAAGGAATGTGTCATCAAATCTGATACTCAACCGGCAACAAGCAGCCAAGACTCTCTCTGTTTAAGTCCAAGAAATACAATTTTCGATGGGAGAAGCTTTAAGCGGTTTCTGTGCTCAGTGCCAAGGGTTGAATACCTCCCACATGCACGCACAAACGGAGAGCCCCCACTCTGCGGAGCTCGGAAACATATGGCATGCGACTGGGACTGCCTGCCTGCGAGTGCATTGACGATGGGTCGCACACTTTGACAGTTAATTTTGCAATTGTATTTGAATAACAATAAATTTGCACGTACCACATAAAGTACGCCTGTGTGTGCTGGGATGCACAGCGACCGACCCCACCCGACAGCGGTGGGCCTAAAGCCTAAACTGAGTGCATTTGGTACAACAACTTGCAGTGCAACAACAAATATGGAAACTAATTAAATTTTAGCTGCACTACGCACACACCAGGACAGGCCGCACGAGCATGTAAATGGGCACAAAAGGCCAGCAGCAGGAGCAGCGCCAGCCGCACTCCCGCTGCATACACATTGATCAATTAACAGACAATATTTTCATTCCGCCAATGGGTTAATTTATAAGCAAATCAACGCCGCTGCACTCTCTGCGCCCATGCCAATGCCCACGCCCACACATGACGGTTGTGCCTCATTTCCTCCTGCCAGAAGAAGGGCGAACCACTGCGGACCAAACCATATTGTTAATGGCGCAAAATCCGGGAGGCAAATAAAGCGACAAACACGCGACGTCGACTGCGACTGCGACTGCGACTGCGACTGAGACGATGGCCGACAGGTGCTGCAATGGCCGACCGTCTGAGTGGTCCTCCCCTTGCGCTGCCATCCCCCGACTCACCCATTGTCCCTGTCTCTCACTCTCACTCTCTTGCTCTCCCTCACCCGTTCCCTCTCCCG